TGTATATGGATTTGACATAATTGCTACCAGTGGCGATTGGATTTGTGACCACTTGCCTCCGCCTATTGGCACCTACATGATTTTCATAGTGATTCTATTACTGTACACTAGTAGCAGTCATTAACAGTTTTCTTGGTGATGAAATATAACAGTTTCTTTTGGATAAAAATAACAGTTTGACAAAGCCGTTTTAATTCGATTTATTAAGCATAACTGTTCATTCGTTTACTAGCATTTATAGCAGTATTTAGTCTACTTGACAAAAAACTCTCAGGAAGAATGGGTGATGGGTTCTTGTATCTGCCACCACATGTTAAGTATGCACTAGCATAGCAAAATCCTTGACGGTAGATTCCACGGGGTTCTTTTACTTTAAAAAAAATGCAAGGTGAAATCTCAAAATTACGGACACTTGAACACTTGCAGCATTGAAAGGTCTAAAATGGATATTATCTGCACGCACTCTTGTGACAGGTAGTAAAAAATACATTTTATTTATTTTCAAATAATAAAGGCTATAAAAACCTATTCCTTCTATAATTTTTCATACCTACTGATAAGAAACAAACAGGTTGGAAGCGACCACGTTATGCCCAGCGGTTATTATCAACCATGTATTAATTTATATTATATTAACTATTTTTATACAGTGTTTGTTTATTAAAATTCTTAAACTTGGTAAAAGAGAGACCTTGTATATTTTCTAGGACTTTGTTGTTATAGCGTATACATTGCCCCACGAATGAATTACTGACTGTGTCTAATCGAGGAACTGGTATCACTAGATTGTGTTTGTTCCTGATTTTTACAGAGCGTCTATCACTTTTTTATTCAAACTATTTTTGTGAACATTGGTAAATTAAAAATTCCTAAATATACGGTACGTCAATGTATTTATTTCTTAAAATTTTTCTTTGGGAGACTATCGATTGTAGGTTCTATCTATCTGTAGTCTATGTATCTAGCTGTTAGCTTTATTGCCAAACAACTCTTCTGCAAAACAAATGGTTTCTAAATCAGCCGCACTTCCCCATATCAAAATTCTGTACTATATACATTATGCTATGGAAATAAATTAATCTAGCTGTCTCTAACACTAGTGATACTTCTAATCTCTTTTACGGCATAAACTGCAGTTTAAGTTTTAACATCAAGGAAGTATCATTAGCAAATAAAAGTATATGATGATTATCCTCTATAACGAAAAGTAACTCATTAATAGAGACTAGAAATAGAAATGGGCCTTAAATTGGCCCTTGAGGAACACACATATAGTACAGTTTTTTTTTTCTTTCGTACAGTGACCCAGAAGAGCTTTTACGGTTGATAAAAACATTCTGTATTCTATTACTTAAATATGAAATAATAAGTTAAAGCTCTTGTTTGTAAATTTTCTTGACACCATAGGTTAATGTCTCATGGGAAACATAGTCGAACGCCTTGGGAAGGACACACAATAAACCAAAATCATCCCCTAAATACTCTCAGGCACAAAAAATATGTTTAATAAGCTCAACACCGGCGTCACTTGTCGAGCGATCTCTTGTAAAACCAAAATGATTTTTATGAAGCAATTTATTAATATTTAAAAAAAACTTAACATCTGATCTAAAATGATAGTTTCAAAAATGTTATTAAAAATTGTTCAAAAACTCTAGGTCTAATGTAATTCCAGATTAAAATAAACATATGACTTTACTATGTTTCATTAAAATAGGAAAAAAACAAGGTGCTATTGTATGTGCTATATAACTTTAATGGAAATCCCTCGTAAGTCCGTCGTTTACATAACATCAATGCTACTCGTACGGTCGTACGCCACGTTAACTTTATGTACAAAACAAAAAATAAAGAAGCAACGAAAATAGGAAACCTGGAACATGATATATATATTGTTAATACTAAATTCATTAACTGCATGAGTAAATATCACATATAATCAATTATTAAAAATTAAAATCTTGGTAAATACTGGTTTAAAAATTATGTTTGTTATGCAGAAGAGGGCCGGGCCATAAGGGTTATTTATAATATCAAATCAAAAATAAGTACAAAAGTCCATTCGATAAAATTGAAATAAAAAAACATATGGCGTAATACAACAACATTTTTTGTCAGTATGTTTATGAAAATTTAATTTATTTTTTATAAAATACGTGTGACGAACGAGCACAACGTCCACTTGATCGTAAGTGGATGTCGTGCTCAATACCTGTCTTTGAATAGGAATCAGAAGAAGCATTTCAACCTCTGAAGATATATAATACCTCATTACTATTAAAATGGTTCTCTAGTTCTCTATACTTACTGACCAACAGCATTAAGGTGCTATTTTACGGGTCTTTTATCCGTGGTCCTGTTGAGCCGTTGACGGGTCCAGAGATTTGAATTACCCGTAGACCGGTAGGAATTACAATTCGATTAATACTTTAAATTCATGACTGTACTGAAAATAATATGAGAGATTAAAAAGCAAAAAACACGAATTTCTGACACTGTGTCTGACTCTATCACATGGTAGAGTCACGCAGCGTGTTATATCTGTAGGAATGGATGAGCGAGTGAGTAACCATGTTCGTACAGTATAGTATACAAGTGTGAAGAAGCAGCATTTCAGCAAGAAATTTCTCTTTTCTTAACTTACTCTTGTCCGATTAATGCTAATGGGGATGCTGAATATACTCTAAGCAAGGCCATAGCTAGGAGGGAATCAAGGGGGGATTGACCCCCCCCCCCCCCCGAAATAAAAAAATAATATTTACACAACATAATAGTTAATCACTACAAGCAAAATTCTCTATCTACTGTTTTTTTTATTCTGTATGACTTTATGCTCGCTTGATATTCGTACGACGATACTTAAATAGAGAGCGGTAAAACTACGTGTTACGCCAATTATAGTACTGTTACGAGCTTGAGGTTCGTGACAATAAAAACTGCTGATTGAATTACCAAAATTTACACTTTTATTACCGAACACCAATTAAAATTTAAAAGACACTAATAATTAATCACACTGATTCACTTTATTTCGCTCCGAAGCTTCGCTTATCTCGCCAAATTCAATGCTACTCCGATCGCGGCTTGCAGCGGCTTTAAATATACCTTTTCCACCAAAACATCCAGAATATTCCAGTAAATACGGGAGCCGACCGACCAGGCGCAGAAAGTTCGAGTGTGGGGCTTCTAGAAAGCTTAATGGTCTCACTAGACACTAGATGGCGCTAGTGCCAGGTACCAAACGTCAACTTAGGCGCGCAACACTACCCCCTCTTACGACATGCTCGTTCCGAGCATTATCGGCCCCATTATAACGCGCCAGGTGATCCACATGGACAACCTTAGGAGTCCCTCTTGCGCCTTTCTGTATCCGGTGGGTTACATCGTTGATCCTGGTCACAATCAGGTACGGGCCGTCCCATTTAGCTTGAAGCTTAGGAGATTTCCCTTTGCTGCGGACTGGATTGTGCAACCACACTAGTGAACCTTCGTCGAACCCTTTGTTGTTCATTTTGCGGTCATACCGGGTTTTCATCTTTTCGGACATTTGCTGGCCCGATTGTCTAACGTGCTCATAAATGTCATTCAATTTGTTCCGCAAGTCATTAGTATAATCGGTTATATTGCGTGGGGCATCAGGTGGTATCCCGGTGACCAGGTCTGCAGGCAGCCGTAATTCTCTTCCAAGGTTTGCGAAAACTGGTGTCACTGATGTACTTTCGTGAACAGCGCTACGATATGACAACAAAAACGGTTGTATATGCTTGTCCCAATCTCGTTGCCGATTGTCTACAACTTTTGCTAGGTAACTCTCCAATGTCTGATTAAATCGTTCTACCATTCCATCAGATTGCGGGTGATAAGAAGTCGTTCTTGTTTATGAGTACCCATAACTGAACAAGTTTCCTAGAATATTTGAGAATCAAAATTCCTTCCTTGGTCGCTGTGAATCTCTAAAGGTACTCCAAAACGACAGAAGACTTCATGAACTAGTTTAACTGCAACTGTTAAAGCTTCTTGATTTGGAATGGCGAAGACTTCTGTGACTGACACTTAGTGAAGTAATACATCACAACCATGAAATACTTGTTACCGCTTTCACTTTCCGGAAACGCCCCCGCCACGGCAATGGCTATTCTCTCTCATGGTGCACCAACATTGTACAACTTCAATGCACTTCTACTACGAGTCTGAGGTCCCTTTACATATACACACATTTGTACATTTGCGAAACCGTTCTCGGATCTTCAGTAGAGTTCGTTTAACTCCCAGATAGCCTCGTGAACAATCATTATGGTACAGCTGTAGAACATCCGGTACTTTAGCTTTAGGGATAACCATTTGCAAATGACAGCGGTCTCCCCGAACATTTTTCCATTTAGCTGCAATCCCAACAAGCTGTCGCATTGGGCCCAATAGCTTTTATTGGTCGAACTCATCGCTGAGACGTCGCTCCACTTGGGCTTGGGAGCACTGGCCTTAATCCATTGCAGAATCGGCTTGATGTCCTTCCATTCGTTGCTGAGGTGGTCTGTCCTGAGCATCCTCACGGATACCACTTCCTTACTCTCTTGCCTAGTACAATGTTTGCAATCTTCAGGACAAGGTCTTCTTGACAATGCATCTGCGTTGCCATGAGATTTCCCGCTGCGACGTTCGATCTCAAAGTCGTATTCCTGCAGTAGTTCAATGCACCTCGCAACTTGTCCTTCTGGATTTTTAAACTGCAATAGCCATTTTAGTGCAGCATGGTCAGTTCGTAAGTGAAATTTCCGCCCCAGAAGATATTTGCTAAAATGCTGCAATGACTTTACCCCAGCTAGCGATTCGCGTCTTGTGACACAATTGTTCCTTTCCGGTTTTGACAACGACTTGCTGAAGTACGCTATCAAGACCTCTTGGTCACCATTCCGTTGAGTCAACACACCACCAAATCCTATATCACTTGCGTCTGTGTCAACTTCATTGCTTGCATCATCATGGTATCCCAAAATAGGTGTTTAGCACAGACGGTCCTTGAGCTCCAGGAATGCGATATTACAACTTTCATCACAACAGAAATGTTGCATCTCCTCGGTTAGCTTGTGCAGAGGTTTGGCTATATCTGCAAAGTTCTTCACAAATCGCCGATAATAGAAGCACAAACCCAAAAATGCTCTAAACTGCGTCTTGTCTTTTGGAACCGGCCAATCCTTGACAGCGGCGATTTTCTCCGGATCCGTGCGGATACCATCTTCCGACACTACATACCCCAAAAAGTTGACTTGCCGTTTGAATAGTGAACATTTCTTCGGACTCAATTTGAGGTTGGCACTCTGAATCTTCATGAGCACGCGTACCAGGTTTTGAAGGTGTTCCTCAAACGTACGGCCCACGATGATGATGTCATCCAAGTAGACCAGACAGGCATCGCCAATTAGCCCGGTAAGTACAAGCTCCATCAGCCGTCATGTTGCTGGAGCATTGCACAATCCAAACGGCATTACTTTAAATTACCACAGACCCTTTCCCGTCGAAAACGCGGTTTTCTCCTTTTCCTTAGGGTCAATTTCAACTTGCCAGTAGCTACTTTTTAGATCCAGCGTGCTAAACCACTTTACTCCGGTAAGCATGTCCAGCGTGTCATCAATTCTTGTCAAGGGATAGCTGTCCTTCTTCTTAACATCGTCCAGACGGCGGTAGTCAACACAAAACCGCATGCTGCCATCCTTCTTCTTTACCAGCACCACGGGTGAACACCTTGGACTAGAGGAAGGGTCAATAACACCATCCTTCACCATTCCCTTAACCATGATTTCCACTTCTTTTTCACGTGCTACCAGCAATCTTCTTGGTCGCTGGCGGATAGGCAAGTCTTCTCCTGTGTTAATTTTGTGTTGAAATAAGCCGGTCTTCCCCTATGTTAGCATCGTTTGACGAGAATACATCGGCGTACTTGAGTAACAACTTCTTCGCCTTGACCATTTCATTCGGGGAGAGAACGCTGTGACAGTTTTCTAAAAGTGTGGTCACTCTCGTTTGTGCACCCTTGCTGGGGGTACCACTCGATAGATATTGGCACCGATGTAACCAATCCACTTCCTCACAAGTACCAACCAGTGTGCCTTTTTCTATAATCTGTTCCTGGTCACAAAGGTGCAGCACACGTACTCTTGAGATGTCAGTGGTTCAGACCAAGGTTCGAGCTATTTTTCATGGAAGGTCATTGTTTACCCGTTCCACAAGTACACAACGGTGAGCTTGCCCAGGGTTTCGAGGAAGACTAACCGACACAATCGTTTCCGATCTCGGCGGAAGAACAATCTTCTTAATGCTGTACACATTCCCTGGTAACGCACCTTCCATAAAAAGTTCCTCCTGTCCACATTTCAAAACACCTTGCTTAACGTCGATCTCACAACAATATTTCCTCATAAAGTCTAGGCCCAGGATGTAGTCGTTCATTATATCAGCCACCATGACATTATGCAGGTAGGTCATGTTGCCTAGCTTCAACTCCATCTCCTTCTCTCCACGGACGGGTATACGCTGACCGGTGGCTGTTACCAAATTAATGCGTTCTCGCTGTACGCGATCTTTAAGCTGTGCACGAAAGACGTGTTCCAGGTGAGCGTCGCCATACCTCGCCTCCAATGCTCAAGGAGCTGCTCATAAAGTCACTTCCTCACCGAGAGCTTCCAGAACTGTTGTAGCGGCGCTGTCGTCGCGCAGCAAGCGAAACATACCGAAGCCTAAATCACGCTATCAACATTCCGAATCATAAACAGCATATATCGAACATCTCCGAACTATCACACGGAGTGTTGGCCGCACCCCGGGCAGAACACCTTGCCCGGCGGGAGATCTCCCATTTTCCTTCCACGGCCACAGTGGTGACTAACCGACGTGATCTGAACACGCAACCAAACAACCTTCGGAAACTTCAAGCTTCATCATCGTCATAGAATACCCCACCCATTCGCTCCCGAGCAGATATGAACTGCAGTCTTCATATCCTGCAAGCCATCTAGCTTCACAAGGTTCATCGCAGCACTGGAATAATAATGCTTCCTGTTCCTTCAAGCTACTCTCTGCGCTATACAGTGTTCGGCACGGCTCTGAGCCTTACTGCTCGCCTCTGCTTCACGGCACTCTCGCAGATTACTTGCCTTCTTCTCGACTCACCGCAGACTACAAGGCAATCTCCTGGCACTTGCAAATTCGTCGGCAACGAGGCTGCACTATCGACCTCCGGTCTGAGCAGGGGGTGATGTAGCGGCGCTGTCGTCGCGCCGCAAGCGAAACATACCGAAGCCTAAATCACGCTATCAACATTCCGAATCATAAACAGCATATATCGAACATCTCCGAACTATCACACGGAGTGTTGGCCGCTCCCCGGGCAGAACACCTTGCCCGGCGGGAGATCTCCCCTTTTCCTTCCATACCGCTACCCTGTTAAGGCCTGGTCGCGCAGGCCTAGTGTGAGAGCAGTTATGGCCTGACTTTTATTCCGCCGTTTGCCTTCATAACAGCTTCAAACTGGATTTTGTAGGCCGACCAGGAAGAAGTCCCGTCGAACGGTGGCACCTTGAACCCACGTAGCAAAGGTGTTGGCTATTTTCTTCACGTCAGCCATCACGTTGTCAACCCGATTGTTCATTTGGTCGATTCGGGTTTCAGCTTTCTCGATTCGGGTTTCAGCTTTCGCGATTTGGGTTTCAGCTTCCGACAGGCGGTTCTGAGCTGCTGAGCAACCCTATCCTTCACCTCCTTTATCTACTTCCCGAAGGTAGCTTGAAGGTCCTTCATGAGGAGCATCTGCTCTTCCAACCGACGGGCCTGTTCCTCTGGTCCGCCCCGCAGTTGCTCTTCCAAACGACGGACCTGTTCCTCTTATCCGCCCCGCAGCTGCTCATCCAAATAACGGACCTTAGACCTTAGAAATATGACGGATAAAATGGGTGGAAGAATCTGAACTAGATCGACCAACATGTGCTATTGAAGCTCTCGGAGAACGCAACCAGGACTTATTTCCAAACATTCACAGACTTTTAAAGATCTTGGCTACACTGCCTGTTTCCACATGTACTCCTGAGAGGACTTTCTCTTCTCTGAAACGCCTCAAAACTTATTTGAGGAATTCCACAGGCCAGGAAAGACTAAACGGTTTGGCGTTAATGTCAATCCACCGCAGAATTGACATCGACACCGAGGAGGTAATTTGATTTGTTCGCTGCAAAGAAAGCTAGAAGACTAAATTTAATGTTGTAATAAGGTGTTAATATTTCTGTAATGGTTTATTAATAAATATATATGATAAGTAACACCATTTTATTTCTTTTATAAAAACGATTTTATGTTTTTCTACTATTCCACCAAATCAATGCGATGTAGATGGGGCTGCGGGAGAGTAAGTAATAAGTGGCAATGGGCTGATCATATAGCTCGAGGAACCGACATTCGATGGGGAAGAAAGGAAGGGCAGCCTCGTACCGGTAATCGAAGTGTAGAGCGGGCCCCCACTAGATGGTGTGATGACCTGGTAGGATATGCAGGGAGTCGATAGATGCAGTTAGCTCAGGACGATGCTTTGTGGCATTACTTGGGGGAGGACTATGTTCAGCAGTGGACTTGTGAAAGGCTGTAATAATGATTATTATAATGATTTTAAGAGCTGATTTACCACTTTCTTGGTAATGAAAATTCTTTCGTGAGGGATAACCTGGATGCCTGAAGAAAAATGTCCTCCAAACCGATAGTTAACTTCGGTCACGATCATTCTCAACAGAAACTAGCCATTCTACGCAGGTTAGTATCATATGGCACTAGTTTTGGTGCAAGCACAGGTGCACTCTCTATTCCCTCACTATGACAATCCGCAGGGACGCCAACGCGATAGAGATTAGGCGAGACCTTGTTAGGCACGTGGGGCGAAACAACGCCACTAGACCGACTAGGGGAAGAATATTTTGAGGACAAGTAAGACAAACTGGATTAGAGCGCACTAATTAACTCAATAAACTTTGTTCTTACCTTACTATCCCAGAAGTAGGCTAATATAAATAAATTTGGGCTAATAATATCAGCGTTATAGGAAAAATTTTTGTGGGGCAAACGCGACAAAACTTAAAATAAAATATAACGCGATAAAAGTCAGTACATATGTTATGGTATTTGGAGCAAATTCCGAACGGTTACCTCACGAAAAGAGATAACCACCGTGCGGTTTTACCGGTATAAATCACACATTAAAAATATAGTTTTCGCAATTAGGCGTTTATAGTCCTAAATAAGTCTCTTTGTCTTACACACACAAAAAACAGAAAAATGAGATAGTTGTGTTTGTTCCAACAAATTAACATCGTTTGGAGAGGTTTAGAAGTAATATAGTAAAAGGGCTTCCATCAATTTCATTAAAAAATAGTGCTGATTATTTATATGGTGCACTATTTAAAATGATAACTTGTGAATTTAATAGAATATTCACTTGTAAAACTTTCTAATGAGAAAGTTTTTGATTGTTAATTTAATAGTTGTTTAATGAAACAGTCGCAAATCGTTTAATGAATGGGCGACAGTAGGCATTTATAAAAGTAGGCGAAAGTTATACGAGCTTTATAATGAAAGATCATATAATCATAGTGTTATATTTGGAGAGTATGTTAATTTTAAAAATATTGATGTTAAGAAAACGGCAGACTTATGGGTGATTTCCATTAAGGTTATTGCATCTGTAATAGATACAATAGCATATTATCTAGCACCTATTTTTAATACAAGCATCGAATCTAGTGTGTTTCCTGATTTAATGAAACGTAATAAAGTTATACCTTTATTCAAATCTGGTAGTACCCCCGCCAATTTTAAACCAATATCTGTGCTACCAACTTTAAGTAAAATATTTGCAAAAAATATTTTACATCAGATCTTAAGTTTTTTTTTAATATAAATAAATTGCTTCATACAAGTCAATTTGATTTCACACGGGGTCACTCGACAACCGATGCCGGAGTTGAGCTTATAAAACATATTTTTTGTGCATGAGAGAATTCATAGAATGCTTTGGATATATTTTGTTACCTTACCAAGGCCGTCACCTGTGTTCACCATGAGACATTAATCAGGAAACTACAGAACTACGGTGTCAAGAACACAGCGCTTATGCTAGTTATTTCATATTTAAGAAATAGAGTACATAAAGTTATTATCAATGGTAAAAATTCTTCCGGATGGCCCGTATGGTGGGTGTCGCGAAGGGCTCAATTCTTGGCCCATTCGTATTTTTACTGTATATTAATGACTTACCTTCCCTTTTAGAGGATAATCATGATATAGTATTATTTGCTGATGATACTTCCTTGATTTTTAAACTTAAACGTCAATGATTTAAATATGACGAAGTGAATTATGCTATTTCAAAATTAGTGCATTGGTTTAACGTTAATAGCCTACACTTAAACGGCAATAAAACTTAATGTATAAATTTACAACAACGAATGTTAAAAATCCGAATATCAATGTGTTTTTAAATGTTAATGTTAAAAATTAAAGAAATGAGTCTAGTTGAATCATCTGCTTTTCTTGGCATCACTCTCAACGCTAAGCTTCAGTGGGGCCCCCATATCTAAACTAGGAAGCTGACTAAGCTCTGCAGTTTATGCTGTAAAAAAATACGAGTATTAGAGATTTCACTAGTGTCGAGACAGCTAGATTAGTTTATTTCAGTTATTTTCATAGCATAATGTCATATGCGTATTTGCTATGAGGAAATGCGGCTGATTTATAAACTATTTTTATTTTGCAGAAGAAGTTCATAGGAGCTAAAAGTTGGAAAGAGCCAAAAGAGGAAGTACCTATAACCGAGAGAGTCTCTTAGAGGAAAATTTAAAGAAATAAATATACTCAGTATATCTACGAAAATTTAATATATGTTCACAAAAGCAAAGGTAGTTTCCGTAAAAGAAGTGATACACACTCTATAAATACCAGGAACAATCGGTATCTTTTCTCGAATCCACAGTCAGTAATTTATTCTTGGGGCATTGTATACGCTATCACAACAAAATCCTAGAAAATATACAAGGTCTCTCTATTACCAATGTTAAATATTTAATTACACAAAACTCTATTTTTGAAGAATTTGAGTTGTTTTATTATACTTAAATGAATTAATGGTTGATAGTAACTCCTTGGAATGAGGTGATCTCTTCGAAGCTGTTTCTAAAATAAATTTTGTAAATATTTTGTAACAATTCAAATTGTAAAATTTATTTTTAAAAAAGTCCCGCCTGATTTCTTGCTGGTTCTTCCCAGGACAGAGGTATTTTTCGAGCCAGTGGTAAAGTAAAAAAATGACTTTTAATAAGAATTACATGTAATCAAACAGAATAGAAGAGAATAATAAAAATTATTCTGTTCTATTCTGTTCTAAGACCCATTTAGAGAGTTAACAATTTAAAGATCTTGGCTCATTTGATTACAGCCGACCTCAAGGATAACACTGATACAGGAAAAGGTAGAGTTTGTCAGTCAGAGCGAATGTAATTGCTCGCAGATTTGCACGTTGCCAAAAGGATGTGAAACCCACATTAGTCGGAGCGTATTCTACTTCCCTCTTCAAACAACGGGCTTACAGACTCCTCCGGGTCCCTAACAATACATGAGAGTGATAGGGGACAGATTAGTTTTACGTTTCACTGCTGTAGACTGCATATCAGCAGGAGTTATTTATGTTTATTTTT